AAAAAAAATATTATGAGAGATATTTGTAATATTCGTAAAAGTATAGGGTGTTTTTGTAATAGTTAAAAACTTGAGGGAAGTTTATGTAATTTTCTCAAATATAACATGAAAGGAAAGTGAATAGCACGTATTGTAGTACCAACTACCTCTCCCAACAAGCAACTTCCTTTCTCACACCATACCCCCTAAATCTTCACACACGCTCGAGCGCACGGATAATCTGAAGCTCTGTAATTTGTGAATATTTGTTCATATATGTCAGAGAGAGATTTGAGGAGAAGGATCACTGCGTACCGTAGAGCTAATAGCAGAAGCAGAACCGGAAAATCATCGCCATCGCCGGCACCGTCGCGGTTAAAATTTCGGAGTAGTAGGCCACCGGTTGATGTCCGGTCGAGGAAGTCATCGGAGAACTTGAGGATTTTGCAGAGATCCAAGTCAGAGCCGTTGCTATGGAGAGCTGGATGTGGAGAGGATGATCGGAGCTTGACGCCGTTGACTCAGATAGATGTAGGAGTGCTTTACCGGCCGCAGACGTGCACTGATATATTCTCCTCACCGGAGAATTTGGTGCCTCGGTCTCCAAATTTCGAGGTGAGATGGATTTCTCAATAATTAATTATTTCTCGCGTCTGTTTGGTTGCTATTGACTACTCAGATTTAGATATTATTATGCTATTTTTAATTATTTGCTTTTGTCTACTAAATTATAGAAATCAAAAATTTGAATATAGTTGAATTAGATTAAAAAAATAACAATTTTGTTCTCAATAAATTGGTCAGTTACATGAATTTTTTTAGACATGAAATTTATAGCCATAGCATGTTGTTGGATTTATTTATGGCATGTTTACCACAATAGACTAAAAATATTTGTTAGTGAAGAGATGTATAGTAAAATTTAGGGGTTGTTTGACAAAGCTAATGGTTAAAAGTTCAGTAAATTTTGATAAAAGTTGTACGTTCATTGATATATATGGTTAAATAGAAGTTTGATCCGTTGAAGAGTTGATAAAATTTTATAAAAGTTCTATCTAGCCAAGCATGCCAAAAAAGGTGATTACGATAGACAAATTATTCATCTACCATTGATGATCGTTTAAATTCACGTAAGATAAGGTTGCAATATATTACATTTTCATGAACTCACTGAAAACTTGCACTAAAACTCTTGAACTCTCGTAATATGTTTGGTATGGAGCATTAAACATTGAATGAAAGAAAGTTTAAATCTTATATATATTATGTGAAGTGTCATCTAGTTTTGAATTTGGGTCCTAAACATATCCTTAAAGTTTTACTATAAAATGTTTGAGATGCTTTTTCATTTATTAGCTCTTCGTTATATTTTGGATAAATAAGACAATGAAAAAAAATTGTTCAAATTAAATAATTGAAGGTTCATTGTGCTGGATTGTATTGTGTTGAACCTGTTTAAAGTGGAACAAATTTGAAATTTTATTGATGGTACGATGTCTAATTTCTGTGAGAAATTTGGTGTGTAGAGGTACAACAAAGACTCCAAGGTTGTGGTTAATGTAACATTTGAGGGAAGTCCTGGACCAGTCCGAACAATGGTGAAATTAGGATCCAGTGTTGAGGAGGTGATAAAGCTTGTGGTTAGAAAGTACAACTCGGAAGGCCGCACTCCACGTCTGGATAAAGATTTTGCTTCAAGATGTGAATTACACCACTCGTACTTCAGCCTTCAATGTGAGTTCTACATTTGATTTTTAACCATTTCTTGCTTTTCCCTTATACCAGAATGAATATAAATTTCTTCCTCGGTTTTTACATTGCATAAATGAAAACGATGCCAACAAGTAGAGATGAGATTGATTGTGAATAAAACAAGAGAATGACTATTTTAGGTGGCAAGGACATGTAAACTTTTAAAGAAACTCTCGTTCATATAAGTGATACAATTTGAGCACAATCACCCACTTTGCATCACATTATCGAACTTATTTTCTCAATTATAAGTACTTCCACTATGATTTTATCCATCTTTGATTTGAATGCTTGTTTTGTTTGGTTCAATAATACCTCTTTCTATGAGTAATTAGGTTTGAACAAGTCGGATGTAATTGGGGATGTCGACAGCAGAAGTTTTTACTTACGAAAGCGTAGCAATGATCAAGGTGAAAGTTCTCTAAACACAGACATCATCCCTATGAATGCGAACAATGATCTTCCTTTCATTCCAAGTTTCGTTGGCCGGCATATGAACAAAATTGTTAGAAGAACACGAAGACTTTGGAAACTTTTAGGATGCATCTAATGTTGTTTTTACCAGAGTAACATAATATTAGGTTGTTGCTCTGACATTTTATGGTTCATTCTTCTTATTTTTTAATGTGCATACTCGTTTCCCCTCGTGTTTTTTATGTTGGGAAATGGGTTGTAAATTGACTTTTTTTTAGCTAACTGTACAATACAACTTCTATTAATTAAAGCGTGTTTGACTTAAATGCTGCTTCTATGTAGAAAGAAGTGAAGCCAAACGTGCTCTTTGTAATGACAGGTAAAAACATTAATTCAATTGATAAAATGGATGCGAATTATCTATTTATTGTTCTAGCGAAATAATTACTAGCCTTCTTGATGACAAAGTTGATAATGATATAATAATTTTGAAATCCTTTATATACAACGAAGAACTTGTGAATCATAAAAATGGTAGAATAATTGGTACAATACGAGAATTCCACTCTATAACTGGAGAGTATATTACGTAAAATTAGAAGATGGTCCAACAAGACTTGAAATTCAAGAACATAATAAACAATAGGTCTGTATTTTTCTGAATAAAAACATCATAGTCAATCTTACATGCAATTTTTTTAGTGAAATATTATAGTTTATGGAACGAAATTTGAAAGGTCTAACGTATTTTGTGGACCCAAACTCCAAAGTCATAATTAAATTTTGGTCGGCTATTTTTTCGAATGGGCCGGCTACCCAATCTGATTTTGACCAATATTAGTGTCAACTAATTTGCATCACCAATTGTTGTACTTTTGTGTGGTACATAAATTTGAATAGAATAATTGAAAGTTTATATTAAAAGCAAGGGATTGGGCAACAAAGCTTTTGATAAATGCAGAATTTGATACAAATTAATGAAATGTGATTTAAAAATTGAAAAAAATTATGTATCTCATTAAATGTATGATTAGTTTTTATCAAACAAGTACTAAAACTAATATTCGAGCCAGTCTTAGGTCTTTTTTCTACTAATTGAAATGACAAATTATTGTATCTGGTCCATTCTAAATTAAGGATTTGAATTAATTAATGTAAGATTTTATGTTTTATGTTTTTGTTTTTTGTTTTAATTTTCATTTGAATCTTAATCGAATTAGAACATGTTTGGCAAAACTTAAAAGATTCCCAAAAGCACTTTCTTTGAGACTTCGGCCCTGTTTGGGAGGGATTTAGATTTTTTTACAGTAAATCAATTCTCATTTTCAACCACACATTCTTCAATAAAATAATATTTTCCATCACATCAATAATTTTTTCTTCTTTTTCAACCACACATTTCCCATTATATCACTATTCAAAATC